TCCAATGGACAAACTTTGTAAAGATAACCATAATCACATTTCCTGTTTCTACCCGTGAAATTTGCCTCAAATCACTGATAATCTGACACTGAGGTTATTGATACATTGAACATTCAATTTCACAGTTCAGGCACTTCCTGTTTGCCTTTAATTACCGTGAGCAGGCCTTTGGCCGCGCATCCACCACTGTTACTCAGACCTGACATGTTAATGCCTTCTCTTTAAAATGTTAGTGTGCTTTAGGAGAGCAGGGGTGCAGCGGGCCGTCGTGGTTTGTTTGGAGTCCGAGGGGCCATTCTCATGGCCCTCTCAGCAGGGTCATGGCCGAAGAGTGCGAGACAGATCGCTGCAGACCCCTGGAACCTAGAGTGTGTGTGTTTGCTCATTTATGTCTGTGCTTTGTCAGTGATTGTGCGAGTATGTTTGTGAAAGTGAAATTGCAGGATGGTTTTATTGTAAATGTTGGCTGGAGGTCAGCGTTATCCAGAGCAACACATTTAAACGTCCAGATTTGGCCATGCTTTCTGACCTACTTAACTGCTCAGAGGTCAGTGTAAGAGATCCTCACTCTGTGCTGCTTTCCACCGGCAATGAGTGTGAAAAAAAGTGTTTATTTGCCTCCACATGGACCACACACACACTGTGTACGAGCCCATGGGAAGAAAATCACAAATGTGATGAGTTTATAAACTCGATCATAATGAGCTCGGTGTGATTTCAAACATTTCTCATCGAAAACACATTATATGAGAGTTATTTTATTCACATTCATTCATAGTTATTTTACTTTGTGTGTTATATAATATATTTGTATTATTTATATAATTTATTTTAGCATATTTATTCATGAGACCTAATAATTATTTTTTTATTTTGATAATATAGTATGTATAAAATTTAATAATGATAATAATAATAATAATAATAATTATTATTATTGTTGTTGTTGTTATATGGTTAAAATATAAGAATAATCATTTATAATTGTTTATTAATATTATTTATAACACGGCAATATGAAAATTATAGACAGTAATATTAATATTAGAAATATTAATATTAATGTTGAAATTACATTTCAATTAAATGATTAATTATTATAACTTTGTATATAAATTCTATTATTTAAATGCAATTACAGTAATCTCAGTTAATCGATTTGACAGCACTAAAAATATGTACTATTTATAATATTGTTACATTAAATGGATAAACAAAAATAAATAAATTAAAATAAATGAAATAAAATGGATAAACAAGTAGCATTTTCTGTCAAGCAGTCTCTATTTGTTCATTCTTTGACTTTTTTCTTCTGTCGAACATAATTATATTGACATTGACCAACCAGCATCCAGAAGCACATCTCTTTTATATGCAGTTCTGAGATAATTTGCTGTGCACCGTAAGTCTGTTTCACCAGGACTGAATCTCTCAGAATGCAATTTCACAGCAAGTTTGAGCATAACATATGGCTCAAAGATGACAACTCCATTATTCTTCAAGGACACATTTGCTTCTCCTGACTAATCTTATGTAGCAAATTGAAGAATGTAATTTGACCATCAGTATCTCTAAAACTGAAGACGTCTTTCATTTTATCCTGCAGTAAGGCGCTCAGATGACACTTCTTCAGCCTGCTCCTCGCTGACAGCATTTTGTACTCGATTATAGAGACGTCACTCCTCAGATTTTGCACCACTACTTTGATTCCTCTTGTTCCTCACTGTAGCTCAAAATGTATCAAACAGAGCACAGGTATTTTTTTTATTAGTGGTGTTTGCTAAGTCTGACATCAGTAATACTTGTACAGTAGAATTAACTTTTGTATAACTTGTCCCATACTCACTTAAATAATACCTCAAATTTGATTGGGTCCTGTGAGCAGCTACCTAGCAACATACTAACAACCACTCAGAACACCTTAGCAACTGCATAACAATGCAAAAACAACACTCCAGTATTGTGGCTGTTTTTCTTCGCTTTTATACACACTCCTACTCCTCCTCATTCTTCTCTTACCAGCCTCTTCTATCTCAAAACCAGAGAAAGACAAACACATTTGCCTGCCACTCTGTAATCACAGGGAAGCCCACACACACAACAGTGATCTATGCACAACTAGTAAACGCCTGGTCCCTAGACGCACCACATTCATCTGCGTTTCATTAGTGTCTGGCTATGAGAGAAGACACACTGTTGTGTCTGAATGAGTGAGAAATGACAGCCTCAGCATAGCTTCAGCTTTAAAATAGACCCGTCACATCTTACTTTTTTAATTTACTATTAATATAATTTAATTAATTAATTAATTAATTTATTTAAGTCATCTTAAAACTGGCAGATAATAATCATTTAAAGGGGTCATATGACGTTGCTAAAAAAGAACATTATTTTGTGTATTTAGTGTAAGGATCATTATTAATATTTGAGAACCAATAATAACTGATGATAATTGAGCACCAAATCAGCATGTTAGAATGATTTCTGATCATGTGACACCAGAAACCGGAGTAATGCTTTGCATCACAGAAATACGTTTAATTTAAAAAAATATTGAAATAAAAAACTGTTACTTTTAAATTGTAATAATATTTCACAATTTTATTTATCAATTTTACAGATTTTTCGATTAAATAAATGCAGCCTTAGTGTGCAAAAGAGACTTTTTTCAAGAAAAATTAAAATGAAAAATCTTTATTATTCGAAACATATATATATAATATATTTTTTAAATATATATAATATATATATATTTTTTATATTTATGTAAACAACAATTTAGGGCTGAATTATTTGCTATAGTTCTTGTTACTCAATTTCAAATAAATTCAACTAAATAGTAAATTCACTTTTTGTCTGTTATGTATATAATCTCTGCAAGACCTTAAAATGTAGGATACTTGTGTTACATAGGTGGTGGTGTGAGCATGCACGAATTTTGGAGCTTAAAAAATTGGTCACAGAGAAAAAATTTATTCTGCTTCATTCTGTAAGAAACAGTGTCTTATGTGACCCTCCGTACTGCATTTTTTTTGGAACAGTTTCTCTCAGAGAGACCATTATCTGGTATAAGTTGGACTGTCTTCAATATAAAATATCTTTCATTTAGCTGTGTAACACAGAGGAGTGAAATGTTAAATATAATGTTATAGTACAGGAAGCAGCGGTATGATTAAAGTAATTGAAGCACATGCTGTTCACTTATTAGGATCAGAGCTTCAGAACGTCTTCTGATGCCATTTAAAGAGCTTATAAAAGCTTGTATATATGGTTGTTTAAAATTTAATATTTCCTGTTTAAATATAAATGCATATGTGTATATATATTTAGGTTTAAGGGTCATTAATTGTTAATGGAATCATTAAGGAAAAAGAGAAATTGAAATGGAAGTAAAATCTCTCCATTTCTCATATTTCCTGGCCCTACAGCTACATATCGATTAATGAAATTTGATTCGATTTCACTAATGTTTGAATTTCTTTGATTTTGCAGGACGAAGCAGTACGTTATGAGAGCTCAGATCCATGCAGAGGTTTAGTCTGTATCACGGTGTATCAGCCAGCCAGTACTGAACACAGGGATGTGTGCGGGGAGATGCACTGGAAAGATGAAAGCACCGAGAGCAGTGTGGTGCTGGGCAGGTTGAGAGCTCACTGCTGGGAGATCGGCCTCTATCTCTCTGTTTCACAGTCTACAGATCCCTCACAGGACTGGACGGAAGAGATCTGTCACCGGGCACAGACTTAAAGCGCATCAAACAGCAGCGCTCAGGAGACGGCCAGTCAGTTGAGTGAGTGAGACACACACACTCTCCTACACTTCAGACACACACACTTACTATAGAGCAGTGGTTCTCAACCCGCGGCCCGTCACGAATTCAAATGCGGCCCACCGTGCTGAACACAATTTAAAAAAATTACTTTCAGTTTTACAATTCATTTTAGTTTGTACATTAATTTAAAAATGTACTAAATAAATATAAGCTATTACTGGAGAAATGATAGAGAACAAAGCGTGCTTTTATTTACAGCTGAAGAAAATGTACCTACGGGGTTTAGAGAATTTTATTTTGAGAATGAAAAAAACTGCTTTAAAAAGAAAATTTTTATATTTACATTGTAAATGATTTACATTGCATTTTTATTATAAATACAATGTGTAATAAATATTAAACATTTACATATTTATTTATTCATAAATTTATCATACATTATACAATATACATACAATTGTAAAAGACCATATTTATATTATTGTTTATATTATATGTATATTACAAATTATTTATATTGCATATTTAATAAATAATATAAAGCATAATTTTTAGTGCTGTCAAACGATTAATAGCATCCAAAATAAACGTTTTTGTTTACATAATATATATATATATATATATATATATGTGTGTGTGTGTGTGTGTGTGTGTGTGTACTGTGTATATTTATTATGTATAAATACACACACACACACGCATGCATGTATACATTATACATACAAAAATATGTCATGTTTATATATTAAAGGGGTGGTTGATTGCGATTTCACTTTTTTAACGTTAGTTAGTGTGTAATGTTGCTGTTTGATCATAAATAATATCTGCAAAGTTACGAAGCTGAAAGTTAAATGCAAACGGAGATATTGTCTTTTAAAATTATGGCAGTTTAATGCCTACAAAATGGAATAAAGGTAAATTATGTGAAAAATAATGCGTTTTTTAACAAACAAAGCATTAACACATGTTAGACTGCACCCCATAAACACAATCAAGCCTATAAAATAACCAGTCAACCACCCCTTTAAATCTATTTATATATAATATAAATTATATGGATATAAATGTATTCATATAAGTACATGTAAATATTTTCAAAATATATACTGTATGTGTGTGTATTTATATATACATAATAAATATACAAAGTACACATACATGTATTATGTAAACAAAAACTTTTATTTTGGATGCGATTAATCGCGATTAATCATTTGACAGCACTACTTTTTTTATATATTAATTTATTCATACATTCATCAAGTATTGTAAAATATAGAATCTAGTTGATATGTAGGTCAGTTATATATTTATTGGTACAGAAACTAAACAAATGTTTGGTATTTTTTTAGATATTTAATTGCCACAATAGTGAATTTGTGTGATTAACATTTGGCTTGTCTCAGCAAATAATGATATGCAAATAAATGTGATTATTAATCAGCATATCATGTAATTAATTTGATTGTTTTTCACATGATTGACAGTCCTAGTAATTATATTTTCAAGTGGCTGGAAGATTCTGTTCTCATATCATACTTTCCCTAATGATCACATGTCCCTCTGTATAATTCTGATTGGTTGTCAGCAGATTAATATATTATCGCTCTCCTCATCTCTCAGCCAATCAGTTGCCAGTTGCATAAACATAGCCACAATGTCAACTTCTCAGATTTAAAATAGACCCGTCTACATCTCTATGTAACTCACTTAAAGAATTGCCACAATAGTGAATTTGTGTGATTAACATTTGGCTTGTCTCAGCAAATAATGATATGCAAATAAATGTGATTATTAATCAGCATATCATGTAATTAATTTGATTGTTTTTCACATGATTGACAGTCCTAGTAATTATATTTTCAAGTGGCTGGAAGATTCTGTTCTCATATCATACTTTCCCTAATGATCACATGTCCCTCTGTGTAATTCTGATTGGTTGTCAGCAGATTAATATATTATCTCTCTCCTCATCTCTCAGCCAATCAGTTGTCAGTTGCATAAACATAGCCACAATGTCAACTTCTCAGATTTAAAATAGACCCGTCTACATCTCTATGTAACTGACTTAAAGTTATGACCAGTCTTAAAGAAAAAATTTGATGACTAAAATGAATAAACAGTCACAGGTTTTCCGTCCATAACCGTGAGCCGCCAGTGTGAGGATCTGACGCTGATATTACTGTGGATACGCTTCTGAGCTTAGATGGCAGACTTTAAGCATTTTACTGCACAGAAATATGTTTGTGTTATTGTCTAGCTGTGATGATAGACTACTCCAGTTTACAGCATGCGAGAGAGCGAGCGACTGAACAGGTAAGTGAGGAAATGTAACAGCATTCATGATAGATTTTGTTTTCCCAGAGGCGTCTGCTGTGAGACTGGGAATGGAGACCAAATGACAAGATTAGAGCCCAACAAAAACCCCCTTCATGTGGAATAAATCTACACGTCAGCATGAGTTTGGCGAATTCAGAAAAAATAAACTTTCTGTAAAGTCTGACAAATGAATTCCATCTATTTTTACACAGAGAAAAATATACAGAAAACACTGGCTGTGTGTAAAGCGAGAGCACAGTAAGTCTGTGCTGTAGCCTTCAGAGATGTAAGCTCTGCTTCACAAACACACACAGATCACAACTACTGGACCCGGTCTTTATTCATATACATCTGAATAAATATGCTATCCATAAGTGACTTTTTTAGAAGAGTTTCCATTGTTAATCTGTTGACGTTTTTTCACCAGCAAACCTCTATTGGTGCCCCTTGTGCAGTTAGTGGACATCAGTTCGTCAACTTTTTTTCAATTGGTGCACTTGCCATATGTTATTTATTTATTTTTTTGAGTCATGGATTTTGGAGTCAACATCACCTCTTTGAAAACATAATGAGAACATGAGCTAAAAAATGAACAAAAAAAAAAAAAATCACAAATAGTTAATTTAATTAAATTAAAAAAAAATAATGTATTTTTCATTTATATTTACCATTCAAAAGTTTGGGGCTTGTAAGATTATTTCAATATTATTTAGTTTCAATATTCTTGAAAGAAGTCTCTTAATCTCATCAAGACTGCATTTGCTTGATAAAAAAGTATCAGTAAAAAAGTAAAATAGAGTAAATAAACAGTAATATTATGAAACATTATTACATTTTAAAATAACTGTTTTGTATTTGAATATATATTAAAATGTAATTTATTCCTGTGATGCAAAGCTGAATTTTGAGCATCATTACTCCAGTCTTCAGTGTCACATGATCCTTCAGAAATTATTCTAATATGCCGATTTGCTGCTCAAGGAACATTGCTTATTATTATCAAAGTTGAAAACAGTTGTGCTACTTAATGTTTTTGTGGAAAATGTGAATAATTTTTTCAGGATTCTTGGACTTGTTTTGAATAGAGAGTTCAAAACAACAGTATTTGTTTGAGTTTTTTCCCCAAGTTAAATGTTTTTACTGTAACTTTTGACCAATTTAATGTGTCTTTGCTAAATAAAATAAAAAATTTCTTTAAAAAAAATGATATATTGAGATGCATCTGTATATATACTGACCCCAAACTTTCAGTAGTGCATATACATGTATGTATTTTAAAGTAATATTTGCGCTACTTGTGAATTTTTAAAGATCCATAGCAGATGCAAATCTAACAGTAGACCTATAATACTAACACTAATGCTTTGTCAATGTACTTCAATACTGATCCTCGAGAAAAACACTTAAGAAGCCTTCTGTTGCTATGGCTACTTTTGTATGTAAGCGTATATTTGGCACCATGTGTGTTCTGATTAACTTTTGATTACATAATATTACACAACATTACACAAAACTGCTGTTTCCTACGTTATAAGTAGAACTAAACCGTGTAGTTTATCTTCTTTCCATGAGTCTCCCTTTATCTTTCTCTCACTGGTGAGATTGAAGCTTTCATTAGCAGGGTCAGAGCTCTATAATCCGCACCCTGCCATCCATACAGTGATTGCTAACGCTCAGCTACCCTGATACACTCAAATATCACACTGGAGGGTTACGGACTCATTGAAGGCAGCTCTCAGGTTCAGCGAGCAAAGAAAAGCTCATTGGCTCTGACTAATAGGTCACTTTCCTTCAGTATAAGCGCTGAGGGAACAAAGAGAAAACACCCACACACAGGGAGGCGTAACGCTGGCTGAAACGCTTCCTGCGGCCGCCACGTGTGTGTGTGTGTGTTTGTCAGCTGAAGCTGCCAGAGCTCTAAACACAGCATTGAAGTGGCAGTTATGAGACCATAAGTTTGAAATGAGCTCATTTCATATTGTAATTAAGACATATGAATCTGTTTGTTTTGTGTATTTCTGACAGGCGCTGAATGTCTCATTCGTTGGCTTACTTTGAAGACAAACATCTCCCTCCTGAGGATGGCTAGCGTGTTGAAGCCGCCGTCACAGATGTCTGGCTTGGCGTTGGGGTGCATTGGTTTGTCGCCGGTCGGTATTCGCGGGGGTCGCGTCTGCCTGTCGTTTTTGCGTGGATCTGCGGGAGGGTGCGAGCGGGCCAGTGGGACCGTCGGTAGAGGTCTCGTGGGCTGGAGAAGTTTATCTGGAGGTCCTGAAGAGAGGGAGAGAGATAAGGGTTATCAAACACCAAATGTTTTCCAGTTTCTAGTGATTTTTTAAAATCACAATTAAGGGTGATTGTAGTCAAAAACCTCCTCATAAATGGCAAAATCTTGTCTCATAATACATACAGTCTAAATTCAATATTAATGTGCCATTAGCTTTGCAATAGTAAACAGCCTACAGTTAAGCTAATGCACTACACTACTTTCCGGAATAATACATTTTTAGGAATAATACATTTAATGATTCTTTAAATATTGTGTTTTATTATGATGCTGTTTTATTATATTTTATAAAAGCAAGGGGTTTTAGAGGCTAAATGCATTGCGTACAAATGCCCCTAACCCATTGTACTATGTTTGTTTGTTTTATTTCTGTTGACGCTTTTATAAAGACATATAAAAGAAATAATTCAATAAGTAAGATAATAGTAAATAAATAAAATAAATAATAATTACATTGAAAAAAATATTATTATTATAAATCATATATTATAAAAATAATTCATATTATTTATATTTTTAAATTTAATTTAATTTAATTTAATTTTTATTACAATGTATAACATTTACTATATAATATATATTATTTTTATTGTATTATTTTGAAAATGAAGGTAAAAGAAGCTAGACAATCTTGTTGACCAAATATATCGGTTTTATAATATTCATCTGGACTGGGGTATAAAAAAGTGCTATCATGAGCTCTCGCATCAATTACAGTCCAGCATACACCTCGATTATCTGTGGATTCATTATCACAGCACAGCAGACGGCTGGCCCGCGCTGAAGAGTTCAAGCTGTTAGCACAATGAACTAAGACGTCAGGTTTTTGGAAGAGCCGACAGAACGCTACGAGCCTGCAGATCAAGAGGTCAAGAAATCCTCTATGAGAATGAAAGGATAGGTGATTAAATGGAGAAAATAATGAATGATTTTAAGTATGAATCAGGCAGGAGGGCGGTCTGACAGGATTAGCCCTCTGGAGATGCGAGCGGCCCACAGAACCACAGAGAGGAGTGACTGTCAGAAATCAAATCTCCTGAAATAGAGCGAGGATTACAGCCCTTCACCTTACATAACACAGGGCCAACGAAACAGAGATCTGCTCTGGTGAGAGTGATGGATATTGAGAGAACGTGGTTGGGAATGTGTGCGTGATACATGATTTATATTTTTAAATTTAATTTAATTTAATTTAATTTTTATTTATTTTATTTTGTAGTATATATATCACAATTATTTCACCAAGTAATATATGTCATTACTAGCCTAACTTTATATTAGTTTATGATTATTGTGTTTATATAAAATTTATAAATACCCCTTACCCATTGTACACTGGTATGTTAATTTATCATATTTCTGTTGTCACTTTTATAAAGACATATAAAAGAAATCATTCAATAAGCATTTCAATTAAAAATATATATTAATAACAATGATTTAATGAATGTAAAACAATAGTACTTTTATTATAGATCTTATATTACAAAAAAATCACCTTATTTATATATTTTTCATAAATTATATTAGATTTTATTTATATTATAGCATATGTTACAATTATTGTACCAATTTTTAAGTAATATATTTAATTAGCCTAATCTCGGTTCAGTTTATGAATATCGTGTTAATATAACATTTTTAAAACTGATTACATGTGTATATCAGCAATCTTTATAGCTTTGAATGCTCACACAACAAGTTTTGTCATATATATATATACAGTGGGTACGGAAAGTATTCAGACCCCCTTAAATTTTTCACTCTTTGTTATATTGCAGCCATTTGCTAAAATCATTTAAGTTAATTTTTTTTCCTCATTAATGTACACACAGCACCCCATTCTGACAGGATTAGCCCTCTGGAGATGCGAGCGGCCCACAGAACCACAGAGAGGAGTGACTGTCAGAAATCAAATCTCCTGAAATAGAGCGAGGATTACAGCCCTTCACCTTACATAACACAGGGCCAACGAAACAGAGATCTGCTCTGGTGAGAGTGATGGATATTGAGAGAACGTGGTTGGGAATGTGTGCGTGATACATGAGATGTGCAAGTATCTCCACCCTCAGTGGTCTCATCCTGTGTCAGGATGAGGAAAGAGGAAGACCAAAGGGACGGACGTTGGATGGGGTCCAGGAAGGAGGATCTGAACATCTCAGGAACATGCATTTTAGTGTTTTTCTGGATGGGGGTGGAGGAGCAGAGGGAAACATAAAGCAGTAGATTTTTACATTTTATAAGAAAAGCGTGAATGGTTGCCAGGGTGTTGCTATGTGGTTGCTAAGGGGGTTCTGATTTGAGCTACACACTGAGGTTTAATATTTAGTGTTACACTGTAAAAAAATAAAATGGTGTAGGATTTCCTTTTAAACATTTTACTAGACAATTTCACAAATAATTACAAAAAAAAAAAAAAAAACACAAGTAACTATGCAAACTTGTTTCCGCCATGGAATAATAAAAAAATAAAAAAGGTAACTGCAACTTTTAAAAATGTATTTTATCTTGACTTTTTTTTATCTAGAGTTTATATCTCAAAATTGACTTTTGTCTCACAATTCTAAAAAAACATTGATTTTTATTTTTAATAGGTTGCCACTTACAGGTTCTTGGTCGCACAACTAAACAACATAAGACTGATGTCTTCACTTCCAGGTCAAGACGTTATCAATCAAAAACTCACCAGCCAATGAGAACCCACCGCTGCTAGACTCGCCCCCATGAGGAATTAGTGCCAAAATGGCGAACAAAAGCTCAGTTAGCGTAAATGAAGACTTCAGAAGCGTTAGCCATACGTTTAGTCAAAAATTGTGCCTGCAATTTATTTTTTTGCTGTTTCAAAGATATTTTATTCATTTTCAGTTTAGATTTTCATTAGTTTCTTGAGAAGTTACATTCAGAATTAAAGACCTAAATCTAATTCCATAAATTCTGAGAAAAAAACAACAACTCTAAATTGTGACATGTAAAGTCTGAGAAATTCTGAGAAAGAAGTGTCAGTTGTCAGATCTAACTCAGAATTGCGACTTCATGACCCTGAATTCTGAGGGAAAAAGTCAGAATTGTGAGATAAAAAGTTGGATTTACCTATTTTTATTCTTTTATTCTGTGGTGGAAAAAAAACTTTCATGAGTAACACATGAAATTGAACAAAACTAAAGACTGAAATAGCATTTTATTGTAAAACGCACTCCAATAATCTGTTTTAATTACTTCGAAAAAATTTTTTTCCAGTGTAGAATTGAGTGTGTCCTGCGTGAATCTTACCGTAGATCTTCTGGATGCCCTGCAGATCGTCATGTGGCAGTCTGAAGTTCTCTGTGTCCATGTACTGGTAGAAGGGGGCCATGATGGCAGTGGGGTCGTTGGAGTGCTCCAGGCCTAGCGCGTGACCCAGCTCATGTACCGCCACCAGGAAGAGGTCGTTCCCTGTACACACAAAACACACACATATCAGCAAGTTAAACACTGAGACATACTGCAGCACACATAAAACCATTTAAATCACTGTAAACTATTAGGATGAAAGTACCACATCTTGGTTAAGATGCCGTTAAAACTCTCCAATGTCCCTTTTTTGAGTTGTTGGTGCTTTTTAGTCAAAACCATGTGGTCTGAAACCAATTATTCTTATGAGTTGATTCATTTGAGGGAATCAAAACACACTGACTCTTGTGAGTCATTTTACTAAATTTAGTAAATCAGAAACAAATAGTGTGACCTTTGTAGTCTGATTCCCAAATGAACAACTCTTAACGAGCCAACTCATTTTTTAGTGAATCAAAATAAACAAATTATTCTTATGAGCGAGTTCTTTTTCAGTGTATCAAAACAAACGATTTTTACAAGCTGGTTCTTTTTTAGTGAGTTAAAAACATACAGTATGACCACTGTAGTCCCATTCCCAAATAAACAACTCTTAAAAGCCATATTTATGTGAATTAAAATGTACAAATGACACTTGAAAGCTATTTTTTCTTGTATGTTATTTTTTTGTGAATCAAAACAAACACGGTTCTTATGAGCTGGTTCTTTATATCTAAAGTCGCTTTTATCCAAAGTTGCTAAATGAATGTGAATGTAAATATTATTTTTTGGTGAATGAAAGCAGACAAATTATTCTTATGAGTTGGTTCTTTTTTAGTGAATTAAAAACACAGTGTGACCATTGTAGTCCTGTAGTACAATTCTAAAAGGATCAACTCTAACGAGCTGTTTTTTTTTTTTTTCAAAGCAAACTAATCATTCTTATGAAATAGTTGGTACCAAATTGAACCAAAACAAACTAATGACTTTTATGGCCTGGTTCTTTTTTAGTGAATCAAAATGAATGAATGACTCTTATGAGCTGATTGTTTTTAGTGAGTCAAAAATATACTGTTCGACCCTTTGTAGTCTGATTCCCAAATTCTTAGCCATTTCTGTCTTTTAGATCAAAACTAACAAATGATTTTCATGAGATGTTTTTTTTTCTTTTCAGGACCCAATCAGCTACCTGTTTCATATATCACATTACATAAACAACATGGTTTATGAACATCATTCATGTTCGCTTTAAACAGTATTATTTCAGAATTTGTTTTGAGCAGTAATGAGGATCCAGTTATATTGTTATATAATACTGAATCATGAGACATATATATGTACCCAGCCAGTGCTAGTTCACACATGAGCTCTAAAAGAAAAAAATCCACTAAATTTACAGCAAATGTGTCAGAGCGCATAATGATGTGTCAAAATCAAAGCTGCTGTCTGCCTGTGTGCGTAATTGTTATCCATCTCTGTTTCCACTCCAGAATAACTCATCCAGAGTAACCACAGCTACTGCTGGGATTCATTACAGTATGAACCCTGTCACTACACACCCTCACATCAAACATCCACGTAGAGCATCTTCCCTCTGTGCACAAATGGAAAACCCCATCCTGCTCGCCCCGTGATGGTTTGGAGCGGGACTTTACGCCACAGGCCAGAAAACCGTCCAAACACCAAAGTAAAGCAGACGTTATGTGACGGTAAACGAGAACCGCAGAGGACAGAGCGCATGAAGGCCACATCAGCAGCTATCTGTCTTTTCTCTTCTCCTTTAGTTATGACTAACTCTGTCTCTCTAACTTTCCCTCTTTTATCAGCTGACACCAATGAATCGTGAACAATGAATTGTGTTTTGTGTAAACTGCTCGGCGCAGGAGACGCAGATCAAGTGACGCGTTTTGCATTCCTGGATATTTCGGTCTATTTCTGCGCATGGAACATCACCCTGGAGAATATGCCGGCAAGCTGATGGCTGATGGCTGCGAAACGCTCCAAAATACACAACTGACTAAACGCTACTGAGCAAACAAAACACACGAGACCAGTTACAGTTCTGTTGTCAGAGAAAAATATTCGTTTGGTAGGGTATTAGAAGGAAACAAACTGTACGTACAGTAAACAACACAAGCGTTAAGAAGAATTTACGAGTAACGGGACAGCGGGAGTGCGAGAACGAGATCTAAAGAGACTTTGTAGGAAAGTGGGCTGCATTGGAACTGTGAGATTAGAGAGATCACTAGCAGTATTCTTCAAAACTTTTCTGCATAAATCATCCCTCGCTGTTTACACCATGGCCGTAAATGGCACTGAAATCCTAGACTTAAATATAAGGAGGGATCTGAGCAATCTGCAGCCATCTGGGCTCTTTTGATTTAAGAGATAGTTCACCCATAAGCTGTTTTCCAAGTAAACGATGACAGAATTTTCATTTTTGGGTGAACTGTCCCTTTAAGGCAGGGTGTAACCACCCAGCAACCACATAGCAACATGCTAGCATCCACATAGTCATGGCCACCCCAAAGCGGACAAAACACCATTTATATTTTGTCATAAAATGTAAAAATGTATTTCCTTTATGCTCTCTCCACCGAAAAAGAGGATAAAACCAGTGCAAGATAGAGAGATGAATCAAAAACATAGAGCATTCCCAAACAACGACTCTTAAGAGTCAATCAGTGAATCAAAAACACAGTGTATTTTAGAGCAAGAGTGGTATAATTAAATTCCCAAATCAATGACTCTGGTTTGAATGAGCTGGTTTGTTTTAGAGAATCAAAAAGAGTGCAACCAGTGTTGTCTGATTCACAAATGAACAACACAATTGATTCTTAGGAACTAGTTCTTTTTTTAGTGAATCAAAACAAACAAATACCGAATCAGTGAATCAAAAACACAGTGTATTTTAGAGCAAGAGTGGTATAATTAAATTCCCAAATCAATGACTCTGGTGTGAATGAGCTGGTTTGTTTTAGAGAATCAAAAAGAGTGCAACCAGTGTTGTCTGATTCACAAATGAACAACACAATTGATTCTTAGGAACTAGTTCTTTTTTTAGTGAATCAAAACAAACAAATACCCCAAAATGAAACTGTTACACATAAAATAGTAAGTGCTACGAATTTGGAACAACTTGAGGGTGACTAAATGGTGACAGAATTTTTATTTTTAGGTAAATTGACCCTTTTAAGGCTGGGTGTAAACACCCACTAACCACATAGAAACATGATAACAAGCACTTAGATCTTAGCAATCATTTAGCCTTGACCAACCCAAAATGGGCAAAACGTCACTTAAATTTTTTACATTTTATGAATATATATATATATATATATATTTCATTTTTGCACTCTCCACAGAAAAAAGAGCATAAAACCAGTGATGTGTAGAGTAACGTGTATGTCCTATCAGCTTATTCGTGCTCAGGCCATGCACTGCGGTTCTCCCAAGATGCTCCTGCTGAAGTTCAATCCGGAACAGCTGCGGTTGAACCGTCACGACTCTTACGTAAGACTCAAGACCCTGATTAATTAGCAGAAAGGCAAGTTCATAGATCAAAAAGAGGAGAATAAAAGCAAAGTGATGGGAAACAAAAATGGGAAACGGACATGAAAAGACTTTACTCAATTTGTCAAGTCCATTGACCTGAATCTGGGAATTTCCTTATCATCACCCATGCTAAAAATGTAGATCTGCAAATGCCCAATAAAACATGGTAATACCACAGTACTTTGATATTTACCTTGGTACTGAATGATATTACCTTGTTGATACAGTAAATGTCCAAACAACATGATAATACTATGGTACCTTGAGATATACTATAGTACTGAAGAATAATCATATTTATATACAATGGTATTTACACAGAGCTTCAAAGTTCTTAAAATAATAATATGATTTTACCATGGTAAACGTTCAATAAAACATGATAATACCATGGTGCTTTAATGTATACCTTTGTACTAAATGATTACCATATTTATATCCACTAGCATTTACATGGAACTCCAAGGTCTTTAAAGAATTATGATTTTGCTATGGTAAATGTCCAAAAAGTAAGGTAATAGCATGGTACTTTGATATATATACCATGGTACTGAATAAATTCCATGATTTTTCCAAAATGTCCAAAAAACATGGTAATACCATGGTGTTTTGATATATACCTTGATTACATTCATATTTAAATACCATTGTATTTATATGGTACTCAAAGGAACTTAAATAATACTGTGGTATTACCATGGTAAATGTCCAATAAAACATGGCAACGCTATGGTACATTGATGGTACTGAATGATTTCCATATTAAAGGGGTCATCGGATGCCCATTTTCCACAAGTTGTGACTAATGACAGCTCACTCAGGGCGGGTCTGAGGTAAGACGCCAGTCGTCTGTGCTGAAATGCCACTGTCAATCAAACTATCGTGGGAGGGGCCTGTCTGTGTGACGTCACACAGATGTCCGATGACCCCTTTAAGATATCATGGCACTCTAAGGTGCGGCAAAAATACTTAAAAGATTACTATGATTTTACCACGGTATAAGCTTGCAAAAAGCACAAAGGTATTTTTTGGACATTTAACATAACTGAACCATGCTATTCTTGGAAGTACCTTGGAGTATCATGTAAAAACCATGGTACTAAGGCACATTTCCAAGTACCATAATATTACCATCTCTGCACCATGGTACTACCATAGTGTATTTTTGTAAGCTAATGCTACTAAGCTAAAAAGCATTGCATTATCAATGCCATTGTAATACCATGGTACACGTTTTTGTGTGGGATACAAACACAAAAGTTGGTACATGTAAAATGTTCCTCCCTCTCTCTCTCTCTCTCTCTCTCTCTCACACACACACACACGCACACCTTCTTTCTAATGTCAGTTTCGCTTGTAGTCAAATGAGCAATGCCTTTTTAATCCGCATGATGAACTTCCTACTCACACGGGCCGACACACACACACACACGACTCCAGAGACCTGGGCTCTGATTACAGATGACGGATCCATCCGCTTAATTCCAAACACGAGATGGGAAATGTCGAAGTGGATCATCCCACACTGCTGAATGATTGACAAGCGTTTCTGCCACGTGCACTGCCAG